CCCAGTGAATGAACAGGGAAGGTGCTATTAATGTTCTGCCCCCACATTTTATTCGATTTGAGCACCAGTTTAACCTTTGACAGTCTCTTTCTTTAATTGTGTCAATCTCTGCAGTTTCCCTTTAGACTTTCCTTTTGAGGGCGTATTTGCGCTAGAGAACAGATCGATCCTGGGAACTGAATGTGCTTTTGGCCATAAAGCTGTTTAGCCTTATTAATCTTCTCCGATTCATATACCGTAAGCTAGCTGCATTTTATACATTATCAACAGTGCCCTCAGCTGCAATCTTTGTAATGTATATACGGGCAGATTAATAAAATATTGTTCTTTGGTATGTGTGGCTTTGCTAAAGCACATCATTGCCTACTGCTTTAAAGGAAAAAAGAATGTTTTAACAAGTATTTAAACTCATTTTTTATTGGTATTGAATTTTTATTTTATTATGAATATTTAATGCAGATAGTTTCCATGACACTTATTTTGCAAACCATGCATGCTGTTTAAAAGGAATGCCACACATTGACTCCTTACTAGTTGCTTCTTAGTTGTTGCATTCTCTAACTCATTAAGGTCCCATTCATACAGCCTGGTCTGTTGCAGTGCATTTGCACTAGAGTGCTCAGAATCTGGTGCAGCTCTGCAAAGTAAGCAATCAGCTTCTAACTTGTTCAGTTACGTTGGGTACACACCATCATTTTTTTTTTTCGTTCAACCCAGCGGCTAAACAAAAAAAACTGAAGAGCTCAGGAAGAGCTTGTCGTACTAACTATCTGAAGTTAGTACAGCGATCTCCCCACTGAGCTATTGTGTTCTGACAGGGGGACACCCCCCGCCCGACATAACACACCAGTCAGTGCTGATAGCCATTTGATGCTGATCCGATGCTGGTTTTCCAGCATGCCTGTTCAACAGAAGCGACTGAAATGTTGGACAGGCAAGTGTACACATGGGTCAAATTCTGGCCATTTTTTTATTAAACCTGCTGATACTAGTTGATATTTGACCCATGTGTATGGGGCCTTAGGCTTTGGCAATAAATCCTGGAACCTGAGTGGTTTCTATGCACAGCTGCACCAGATTTTGCTTGCTACAGTTTTAGTAAATCACCCCCATTGTGTCATACAGTAACATGCATTTTGTTAAAGTAGCACATTCATTTTAAAGGGCTAACTAACAAACCACAAAAGCAAAAAATGATGCAGTATTTTTTTGGGGGTAGGGGACCATGCTTGTGCATTGCAGCATGTTGCGCTGCATTGCAAGTGCAGTGGGAAGATGATGCCATTCCATTACACAACTACATGATTTATCACACTGCAATACTGTGAACAGGCCCTTATGTGTGTTCACAATTACAGCATAGACTATTCAGTGAGTTTACAGCATAGCAATATACATCAGCTTGGTGAAAAGATGCAGAGTACTGGTAGATATGAAATATTCATATGTAGTATAGTATTTGCATACTGAAAAATGTGTTTTAATCTCTTGCTGACCACTTAATGCATATATGCAGCTGCAAGGAAGATGGGTACACACGGCACATACGTGTCCATGGTGACTGATTTTTTTTGTGCTGAAAAAGTGCTGCCAGCACAGTGATCAAGCTAACCTTTTCAGCTCCTGGTCTTTGGTTATGATAAGGAGTCAATGGAAGGGCTCCTGTGATACATGAAAACCACTTCCTCCGCCTTAAGACCCAGTTAAAGGGCCGCAATGAGGGGGCTGGAAAGGGTTAATGGTTTTTGGTACTCACATAAATGAACAGATAACATATATAAATAATATAATATAATAAAAAATATAAAGTCTTTTTAAAGCAAACCTACATTGAAAAGTCATGCTTCTAAAATAGTGTTAAAGCGTAACTCCACTTTCATGGAAAAAAATATAGCAAATAAAAAAACAAATAATATATCATATACAATTGCAATGTTATTAAAGATTAACTTTAGTTTTCAAGCTGCAGTAGCTGTAATGTTCTGTAAAATTCATTGCAATATAGCAACCTGATGGCATACTGTACATACAGTTAAGTCCATATATATTTGGACAAAGGCACACTTTTAGATTTTTTCAGGTATTTACCAAAACATATTCAAGCTGTAGTTATATAATGGATATGGGCTGAAAGTGCACACTCTCAGGTTTAATTTGAGGGTATGTACATCCAAATTGGATGAAGAGTTTAGGAATTACAGCTCTTAAGAGTAGCCACCCCACTTTTTCAAGGGACCAAAAGTAATTGGACAGTTGAATCAAAATCTGTTTCATGGCCAGGTGCGGGCTACTCTTTAGTTATTTCTTCATTAATTAAGCAGGTAAAAGGTCTGGAGTTGATTCTAAGTGTGGTATTTGCATTTGGAATCTATTGCTGTGAACCTACATCATATGTTCAAAGGAGCTGTCCATGCAAGTGAAACAGACCATTGTAAGGCTTCAAAAACTAAACAAATCCTTCAGAGAGATAGCAGCAACATTAGGTGTGGCCAAATCAACAGTTTGGTAAATTCTGAGGAAAGAAGGATACACTGGTGAGCTCATAAAAAGGCACGGACATCCACGGAAGACAACAGTGGTGGATGATCGCAGGATCCTTTCTATGGTAAAGACAAGCTCATTCACAAGACAGACAAGTTCTGGAAAAGCATTCTTTGGACGGATGAAACTAAGATTAATCTGTACCAGAATGACGGGAAGAAAAAACTAAGTGTGAATGAAGGCTTGAAAGAGCTCATGATCCAAAGCAGACAACGTCATCTGTAAAACATGGTGGAGGCAGTGTGATGGCATGGGCATGCATGGCTTCCAGTGGCACTGGGTCATTGGTGTTTATTGATGATGTGACAGAAGACAGAAGCAGCCGGATGAATTCTGCAGTGTTTAGAGATATACTGTCAGCCCAGATTTAGCCAAATGCAGTAAAGTTGATTAGACTGCGCTTCACAGTACAGATGGACAATGATCCAAAACACACTGTAAAAGCAAACCAGGAGCATTTGAAGGAAAAGAAGTGGATATTTTTGCAATGGTCAAATCATTCACCTGATCTTAACCCAATTGAACATGCATTTCGCTTCCTGAAGGCAAAACTAAAGGCAGAAAGACCCACAAACATGAACAACTGAAGACAGCTGCAGTTAGAGCCTGGCAAAGCATCAGAAAGGAGGAAACCCAGTCTTTGGTAATGTCCATGGGTTCCAGACTTCAGGCAGTCATTAGGATAAAGGATTCTCAACAACATATTAAAAATGAACATTTTATTTATGATTATATTCAATTGTCCAATTACTTTAGGCCCCTTGAAAAAGGGGGGTTGACTAATCGTGAGAGCTGTAATTCCTAAACCCTTCCTCCAATTTTGATGTACATACCCTCAAATTAAACCTGAGAGTGTGCACTTTCAGCCCATATCCATTATATAACTATAACTTGAATATGTTTTGGTAAATACCTGAAAAAACTAAAATTGTGCCTGTGTTCAAATATATATGGACCTAACTGTAGTTGGTATACAGAATGCTCCCAGTATTTGTAATTCCCTGATTGTGTGAAGACTCTGCATTAAGATGCATGCAAAATTTTTAGGCATCCTATGCAAAAAAAGGCATTTTCGGTGAGATACTCCTTAAGGGTTAATCATTTTTGAAGGAATGCAGACACAGAATTGTTTCTTATCAGTGCACCAGCTGATTAAAATGAATTAGTCACTTTCATTCACCCTAGGTTCACATCTGTGCTGGTGGTGCTGCTGCGGATCTGCACGAAAATCCGTGTAGCCGCACCACCCGCACAGAGGAATGCAGACCCGCGGGTCAGTGCCATTAGTTCTAATGGCATGCCACCTGCACTGGAAAACGCAACTGTACTGGGAACCGAGGTTTCTATGCGGGCTGCATTTTCCAAGAAGTGCAGGGACTTCTTCCCTGCATGTCACGGACGTCTATTCAAATGAATGGGCTCTCGTGCCTGTGCAAAACGCAGCCCACACGGCTGCGTATATGTGAATCGGGGGTTAGAATCAGTAACCAAATTAGGTAGTGGAACAACCAGGTAGGAAAACAGGTAAGACTGCAAAGTTTATTAAAATCCTTGCAATGTACATAGATCACCCAGAGGAGATTGTTTTTTTCTCAACAAAATAAAGTTACAACTTAAAGTATTTCTAAAGCAGGGGCGGACTGACAACTCAATAGGGGATCATGGGGCCCCTGTGTCCTTGCCCAAACTCAAAAAAGCCTGTGAAAAAGGTACCAGGGGCATCTCATGGGGCCCCCTACTGACCCCGGGCCCTCGGGCAGTGCCCGAGTTTCCAAATGGTCACTCCGCCCCTGTTCTAAAGCTAAAACTTTTAGGCCCCTTTCAGATGGGGAAGATTCAGTTTTGCAGGGGATCCACTTACAGATCCCCCACTGATTGGAGCAGAACGGGCGGATGGCATTTCACGCCTGCTCTGTTTCTGCAGAGAAGACAAGGTTAAACCCCGCTCTGCTCTACGAGCAGCCAGGTGTAAATGGACTGTTCATTTACACCCCAATACCTCCAATTTGATCCACCTAAGCAGAAGATTATAATAAAATGTTTTTTGTATATTTTTTATGTTGAGTTGAGTTGCCTGCAAAGTCCTACCTGTTCTACCAATCGGGAAAAAAAAAACGTTTGTCTGTACTATTTTGGGATGTTGGCAACATTTTTGTGATTCCTGTGGTGGTTTTACAAAGTAAGCAGAAGAAGATGGATCCCCATCATTTTTTTTCTGGCGGATCAGATTTGACCAGGAGGTAGGCGGTGTAAATGGACCGAAGTCTGTTTACTCCCACCTGTCCATAGGGATGCATGGACCATCCAAGTCAGGTCTGCGTGAAAAACTGACAGGCAGACCTGATTGGATCACCCTTGTGAAAGGGGCCTTATTATTAAAAATATATTATTTAATAATATTCAATTATTATTTTAGATAAAGTATGGAAGGATTAACACCACTTGCCATCTGTGTCTCAGGGAGATTTCATGTCACTTCCTCTCCTGTAGATTCAATAGAAAGAGAGAGGATACTCTCTCATAGTTTTCACAGAAAAAAGTGTTCCTATTTGAAAAGTTCCCTTCTATTCCTGTTCTGGTGGAAATTCGAAATATTGAATTTACCCTCACTTATATTCACGGTGACATTGGTGATAGGACAATTCGAGACAGTAAATCTCCCTAATGGGAACACAGACATCATTAAAGACCTGACAGTGGATCTAACCCATCATAACTCTAAAACCTAAAAAAAAAAGTTTTGTCTATAGTTTGACAGTTGTCACCATAAAGGTGTCTCCAGTGAGAGAATTAATCTAGAAGTCAAGCAATTGGCTGTAATAAACAAAAGAAAGGTGACTTTGTTTAATAAAAAAAATTAAAGCTCATTGGTTGCCATGAGTCACTCTGCTCCACTACTTTTTAAATTGTTAAATATACCAAAAAAAGCAGGTACCTTAATAAATATACTGTGTACACCACATTATTTACACATTATACATTTTATAGGATAAGAGAACTTACACAATCTTCAGTAAACAATAACTGTACCCAGAATTTGACCTTTTCTTTAAGAAACATCCCATTCATACTTTCTACATATCTCTGCACACTGAGGGCTTATTCCCCACGTTGTTGAGGGTTTTTTAATAGAGCTGACCTTTCTTCCAACTTTGGAAAGCAGAAACCATGAACTAATCTTTCCATCTGCAAATGGCGCTGTTCTCGGAATATTTTTACATATATATGATTGCATTTTCAGAGCGCCTTTACAGCGCTTCTTCTCACAACGCACCCGCTGCAATAAAACATTATTACTTTAACAAGAAAAGCAATCATGGTATCACAGTCATTATTACATTTAAGTAAAACTAAAAAGACAATTGTAATGCAGGTGATCGTATACCACCAGTGATATAGATGCAGTCTCCATCATGAATGTTTAGCTTAGACAATGCCACAATGCAATTTTCTAATGCATTCTGCATATTATGGGAAATATAGAGAAAGCCTTAGAGATGATGTACTTGTATATTAAAATGTATCCGGTCTGGGTCATATTTCTGGCAAGTCTTTGTATTAGCGCGGTTAGACTGACATGCGGTGTTACATGCAGGGCTAGGTGGTGCCTCGGGGTCTACACCTGCACCCCTGTGACCCCCTCTCACATGCTTACCACTGTATACCTGTCAAACCCTTTCAAAAGAAGATTAACAAAAGCATTTCAATGGAATTATAATCTCTTCTTCCCCTGAAATATTCATGCTGGCCCGAGGGCAGCATTATTCCCTTTACAAGTTGCATACAAATGAGATATAATGATTTATCTCATGAAAGAAGATGAACTGCAAGGGGAACTAAAGTTTCAATCACAGTCACTTGGAAAGATCCGCAGAGTCTGTCACATCTTTGACAAAGGAAGAAAAATGTCATGCCCCCATAGGCTGCGCACCCAGTCTCAAACTAACATGTCAATGAAGTAAGGCATCATTCCAAAGTTCTTCCATTTTGGTTCTGACTTTTATACTATGAATGTGGCAAAGAAGTAGGATCACCCCAAAAGTCTGCAGAAAGATGCAACCTAGTTGCTGTAATTTGACATATTTGTAAGTGCAGGGCAACTGATAAGCTTGCAGGTTTGACAGAGCAAGAGTTTTTAATTGCTGTGAGTAAGTTACACCCCTGTTCCCATCTCTAATCACCTAGACCTCCATTTAAAATACTTTATTAAAGAATTTTCTATGGAGATTAATTAATGAAGAATGGAGCCCTAGGCAATGTAGCAGTTTTGCCTCCCCCATCCTTTTGACTGACATTGATAGAGATTTCAATAGGCACAGATAATCCACCCCATTTGTACTGTCTGTATTAGCATGGCCTCAATCCCAACATACACTAAATGGCTACAAGTTCATCTTCCCTTGTGAAGTGACTGGCAGCACAATTTTGACTAAGAGCAGTACACTCCTGGTCTATTACAAGAGTGCAAAAGTTGTAGCTGAGTCCTATGGACGTTTGCCAGACTCTAAGGTAATGTCTAGGTTTACTTGTGAATGACTCAATTTTTGCAATTTTTTGGGCTCGTTAGACTGCTCCAAGATGATTAATGGAGTGTGATTATTTAATAAGCGCTCAATTAAAACATCTCAGTTGAGACTAGTAGAATAAGGTGAATACATACTATGGTTTACTATATTTTGGTCAGATTTATTGCACTTTCCACTGCTGCATAAGACTACCAATGTTGAGGAAGATCGAGTCACAGAGCAGGGACCCAAGGAAGATTTTTAATGACTTTAGAGACAATTCAGAAGATCAAGTAAACTACATTCACAAAATTCTGCTGCACTGATTTTTCGTTTGTTTTTAACATTGTGTGTTCTTGTTACAAACCTGAAAGCCTAGTTCACAGTGGTATTACCTAGTAAATGTTATGAGCGCATTATTTTTCTCAAGCATTTATTCATCAAAATGTAAAATCTTGAGACAGCTTTATTTAGTAGTAGTTAGTCACATTCAATTGGACATGTTCTGTAATGGTGAAGACATTTTGTGGCTTGCCCAAGACACTTCTTCAGTTCCAATGCTTGTCAGGAAGATATCCCGGTATTTTTAGCCACACAGATAGCACAGGCACCTTAATCCAATCACCATAGAATGTCAACCACAAGGGTAGAAATGTTAAACTGGTATAATATGGTGTTGAAGGCCCCACCCCTGTTCATAGATGGTTGTTCCACTTTGACCTAGATGTACTATTTAACACCACTTATGAACCAATTGTTCCTTCTGTTCAAAATGTGTCCTCAAATGTCTCTTTTCTAATTCCTAATAACCCCCAGTTTTTGTTACAGACCAGTGCATGGTGTGAGTCAAAAGCAGATACTGGTCTTTTCGGAACACAAACTGGGGGTTATTGAAGACCCAGCAACATTGGGCAGAGATGGTAACAAAAACCTTTACAGACTTCAGGTGACTATCTTAAAGTCCTTATGGATACCTACAGCTCCATTTTCGGTATGCCAACTATAGAGACTGCTGGCTGTAAGTTTAAATTGTGAGCCTTTTTGAAGCTCCTAAACCTTAGGACTATGCCTGAAAGTAAATATCTGTATGTTATTATATATTGTAGATCAAAGAGTGACATCATTTCCTAAAGTCATGATTGGTCTTACCTCTTTCCACCTTTTGTTGGTTAGTGAGGTTGTTGATCATAATGACAGATCAAAAGTGAGATGTGGGTTGAGAGTAGGACTAGGGACAAGCTCAGTTAGGCACGCCATAGAAAATGCAATTTTCTTTCATGCAACCATGAGAATCCCTCCCGCAGAGCTATTTTGTTCTCCTGGCAGGGAGTGCGGGGAGCCATCCCTGCCGAGAGAACACAGTGATTTTGCTAGTGGCTATAGCCACTGGCAGTAAACACATACTAGAAATCCGCATGCTGGTTGTACCCAAGTTGATTGATGGATTGACTTGGGTGGATTGACTTGCCTGCACATACATCTTGTCCGGTCCCTGCTGATCATGCTCAGATTCGAACTGTCTATTTCCTGAAAGTTCTACTTGTAGATAGTTCTCCAGGTTGATAGCTTTATAAGGTGTGTGAACATACTGTACGGTATGGTAGGAACTACAAGTTGTAACAGAATGAGTGGCAAGCTGTAAAAGTGTTTAGTTAAAGATTCCCTATCACTCTGCCCATTCAATTTTAGGTGAAAGTTACTGAAAGTAACTAATATAGTCAAACAATTGAAATCCACACAAGCCTATTTTCGACTTACAAAATCTGCTGCATTTCCAAAGAGGATCAGCTGATCTGGCTGATGCTATGATGATGTGTCAATCCTACTAAATTCGAAGCTGCGTCTGCAGAGGCATGTGACAAAAAGTGTCTGTGTTGGCAGAAATGGAATGCTGAATGTTTATATTGATAAATGATTCTTGGGGAAATATCTGATCTTTCATTGTATTGAGCAAGAAATTGCTGTCTAGCTTTAACACTTCTGTTTCTCTTTACCTTTTAGCAAGTGATCCAGCTCCGCTAAATGTTGTAACACACATCTGACTTGTTCATAACAACCACTGAGCAGCTTTCAGTGGGTAGACTAATAGGAACCTTTTCTGACAGGCTGCTATGGGATACTGTACACTACTGTAGTTTGCACCATGCTGTTAAAGGGGAACTAAACCATCCTATCTTTTTCAGCTTCTGTTCAATCTGCAACTGTTATGGTGATGCACATGTGATCAGTTATGACTCCAGCCATTTGATGGTCTGACAGTTTGGTTGAGAGCACAAGCAAATGTGATGGTTAGCATTACCGTTATTCAGGGAATGTAACTGCTTTTTGAAACCATTAAATTAATGGGTTTAGTTCCCCTTAAAGCCTAATTGAAGTCTCACACTTTTCTATTTCTTTATAGTCCTGTTACCATTTGGGACTTAACTGTGCTTAAAAGTGTCTAATAATACCTGTTTCTTTTGGTGTAAATGTGGCTTTCTGTCCTTCCACTGCTGTGCCCTGTGCTGTCACACTGTGAACCTAGTAACAATTCAGGGTCCCCGCTCCGTCTTGTGCAGCCAGATCCAATGGATTCCACTGAGGTTGCAGGATGGGTTAAGAGTACATCTAAACTGTTCTTAGAGTTGCAGAATGGAAATAGAGTCTTGTAAGTCCCACACAAGTAACCCCCATCAGAGAGATGACAGCAGCCTCCATCCTGGCCACACCCACAATGCATTTTACCCTGCCCATGGGGCTTAGTCATGGCTTGGCTACATGGGTGGGGCGAAACACGTTTATGGTGTGTGACCAGGACAGACATAGACCCTGGCCGCTGTCATCTCTCTGTTTTAAGGGATTACTCAGTGCGCAGTTTAGGGATTCTGCAACAGCAGAGTAACAGCCACACCCCTCAGCACAAGCTTCCTCCCATAGACTTGTATTGCAATTAAATAGAGGGTGTATGTCTGTTACAACACAGAGTGTACTGGGTCATGTTCTATGGAAGGAAGCTTGTGCTGAGGGGTATGGCTGTTGCAGAATAAAAATCCCACAAGCTGCACATCAAGCAATCCCATACATCAGAAAGATGACAGCAGACTCAATCTAGCTCCATCCCAGCCACACCCCCATTGCGTTTCGTCCCACCCATGGAGCTAAGCCATGACTAGGCCCTGTCGGGCAGAATGTGTCAGGATGTGGCAGGGTAATGCACAGTCACATATAGAAACACTGCACAACTGATGTAAGGTGAAAATAAAGCTGACCAAATACAAATACAAATTCGGCCAGTTCAGCAGGAAACAGCAAACTTTTGATCCACGTGTAGCTGTCTATGCTTAACAGAAGCCATTCATTAGATTGATAAGTTGGCCATCGATCAGTGTATTCCAGCAATGTCGGGTCCACGTTGTCAGAATACAATGTACCAGCGAGGGGAGGGGGGGGGGGGTTTCCTTCAGACACCTCGACTGTGTGCCTGCTGGCAGAACACACACGAAAAGAAAAACTACAAGTGTAAAGCCAGCTTTAGACTATGAAAATGGAAATTGTTGGTACAAAGTTTATCTGACGGCATATGTATTTCTGCAACTTCAATTGGAATTGAAACAAAGCAAAGTTAATACTTTAGTCGCAACCAGCCACTTGACTGCGACGGGGCACAGCAGCACAGCAGGGCCTACTGTAATCTTTCTGTTTAATGAATTCTGCAGGCTGAAATAGGATTGGGGAATTGGTATTGAATAAAAACAAATGCATACGTAAATGAGGACATTTTGTCAAAGTGCTATAAAAGTAAGACTTGCTTTGGCAAAGGGATGGATCCCTTAAACGGATAATCAGTTCCAAGGTCCAGTTAAGCATTTTCTCCACTGATTGTCAGTTTCAGTTTGTATAATTACCTACAGAGATCGTTGCAGCATATAGACCACTTGCAGAGGTTCACACAAGGTTTCCTTGTTTCCCACTGCTGGATGTAAAGGCAAGACAGACCTATTCTGTGTGAGCTTTTTATGCTGACTTTTGACTATGGAAAGCTGTACTTTATGCACTATGCTAGTCTGCCTTTTTGTTTGTTTGCTATCAGGGTAATTAGTATCCTGCAGTGTTATTTACTACATAAAAAGTAAAACTTCCTTTCTGTTAAGGCAAAAACAATCTCCTGTGAATGAACTATGTACATGGCAAAGGTTTTAGCAAGCTTTTTTTGTGGTCTTCACCTGCTAATGTTTCAAAGATATTAAAGCAGTAATAAAGTTAAAATAAAAAAAAAAATTAACAGGAAAGTATGTATTGGTGCTAATAAATACATGAGCATTGTTTACCACCTCTTCTTACCCGAGTCTCATCTACACATGATGTGTGATAACTCGTATTTTCCTTTTGTTGGTAAACCTAGCCTAAAATTATTGCCCTGTGACTCATTGGTTCTGGTATTGTTCCTCTGATGATGTTATTGATCCTCTGATGAAGACACATGGGGCGTGACGTAACGCGTAAGGAAGGAGTCTTTGGGTGACAGTGATTGAGGCTGGATACCGGCACAAAGATATTATCTTGGCTTGTGTATTGCTCTTATGGTCTACTGTATGCTTGATTACCTCTGGTGAAATGTGAGTGTATTTGGCTGTGTACAGTAAATACTGATGCTGATTGTACTACACTATGGTCAGTATTATGTGGTTCTGAGCATTTAGATCATGTGCTGGTGAATTAAATAATGAGCCAAAAGAGTACCAAACAGCTGCATCTGAGATCCCTATCTTGCTGGGAAAGTGCTCTAAGACCGCTGTGGATGAATTTGAAGGTGCGAGTCCACCTTGAGCACAAGTGAGTGTATTCACTTGACAGTGAGAGTCATGCGTACAGCACTGGTGTTTGTGGTCACACAGACTAGAAAAAATAGGAATGCTATGGGCTGCACTTTACTAATTAATTATTTTGTTTATCACTGAGTTTATTATTTTGGATTAATTTTCACTTATGATTCATATGATTTTTTGAGGAATTGGGTTTCATCACTGTAATTTATTAGCTGCTTAGATGTATGATTTAGAGTACTGTGCATTTGGTGCACATTTGTGACACATTATATATATTTATTTGTGGTGCAGTGCTACACATTCACAGATAATTGATTCTGGTATTGTGTTTCCCACCTGCACACCTTATCCCCCTCTTGGTAATTCACTGCTCACAAGTTTGCATGTAAGCACTTATCTTCATGGAATGTACTTACCGCTCTTATTCACTGTGCGCTTTGTGAACTTTGTGCGCTTTCTGACACTTTCAAACGCTGCTTATTTTTGTAATTTCTATAGTTTTTCTTTAAATAAAAACTATTGAACAAGAAAAAAATGTGAACAGGTAGGGTATTTATTGCAGAAGAGACGTGCAATGTCTCTTCTGCAATAAAATACACTTACCTGCCTGTGAACAATCAACCGTAGAATGTACACTGAGCTGCGTATGCAAAGCTCAGTTTATATTCCAGCACACTTAGGCCCCTTTCAGATGGGCCTGTCAGTGGATCTGCTTGCTCCCTGCTGAGCAAACGGATAACAGGTCTGTGTCCGCTCCGCTGATGCAGAGCGGATACAGACACAGCCTGCTGTTTTCTACGGGACATTTGGATGTAAACGGACCACCTGTCGATTTCCGTCTGACTGTCATCTGATCCAATCCGCCAATCAGATGTGGAATGGATCCCCGTCTGTCTGTTTTTATTATACATGATCGGATCGGTTGCCGGTGGGCAGGGGCGGACTGACAACTCATGGGGCCCCCGGGCAATAGGGGATCATGGGGCCCCTGTGTCCTTGCCCAAACTCAAAAAAGCCTATGAAAAAGGTACCAGGGGCGTCTCATGAGGCCCCCTACTGACCCCGGGCCCTTGCGCAGTGCCCGAGTTTCCAAATGGTCAGTCCGCCCCTGCTGGTGGGTGTCAGCAAACACATGTCCACTGACACCCGCTGCTCCATACAGAGTTATGAATGGTCCAATCGGGTCAGCCTGAAAAACTGACAGGTGGACCTGATTGGACTGTCAGTGTGAAAGGGGCCTTTTTAGAGTGGAGAAGAGTTAGTACTGCTTTCAGGTTTTTACTGCTATATAAAGCTCCTTTAGATTTACCTTCACTTCCTGTCCTGCTGACAACATTTTACCAGACTGGAAGTGAGGGAAACTCCCCGACAGCATCATTAACAGAAGTATTTTTTTTTCCTTTTTTTTTTTTGGTAAAGTAGAGGAAGACTAGAACCCCTTTCAGATTCTTATTCCCATCTGTGTTCTTGTTGCAGATCTCCCCTTACTTCCTGTTTTGTAAAACTACTGACCACAGGACAGGAAATGGGTGTAAATCTCTAAAAAAAAATAGATAAAAAAATGCTTTTGGTTTAAGATACACTTTAAACACATCACTACAATGAGGCACTGAAGCCGTAGTGGTTGTGATCTGAGCCATCATTTGAGAGCCCTCCCCCTCCCTATTACAATGGAGGAAGGAAGGGAAGTGAGTATGTATCAATGAGCATTTGTGAATGAAGGGATGAGAAGCAGCAGCAGCAGATGATTCATGATGATGGGTTGTAATTGGCTGTAGAATCGTGTATTTAACCTTTTTACTCTCTTCTTCTTCTGTAGATCGCCTGCTGTCTCTAGGTGACCTATATATTAACTTCTTCACCTCACTCATCTTGCACATTAACCCTTTCATCTCCATTCTCTCATTGTATGTGACCTGTACATTAACCCCTTTACCTCCCGTTTGTGTATGACCTATACATTAAAATGGTTCTAAAGCCTGCATATTTTTTTTACGTGAATGCATTTTCTGCCAATAACTCCCACTGCTGTCAATCAAATCCTGGGAGGATTCGCACTGTCTGTGTCAATAGATGCAGACAGGGCAGCTCGGGAGTGAGCCTACATGACTACTCTCATAGAAAGTGGCACTTGCCAAAGTGGAGGAGCCTGGAGCGCTGGTGGGGGACCACAGAAGAAGAGGATCAGAGCTGCTCGCTGCAAAAGCATTGCACAGAGCAAGTAAGTATGATATGTTTATTATTTGAAAATTATCAGATTATTATTAGAAAAGCTGAAGCTTTAATATCACTTTAAGCCTCATGCGGTGCGGTAAATTGTATTTGCACAGAAACCGCACCGCATTCCTGTGCAAATCACATGCGATTTGTGTGCAGTGCGATTGGAGCCATACATTTTGTATGGCTCTAATCGCACCGCACCTGCACCAAAAACATGCAGGACCTTTTTTTGGTCTGCAATAGAATCGGATTGCATGGGTATTCACACCTATGCAATCTGATTCTGCAAATCGCACCACAATTTGCGGACCGTTTTCGGGGTGTTGTTAACTTAAAATACACACCCACAGCAGTTCGCATGAACGGGGTGCGATTCTGATGCAGTGCAGAATTCGCACTTAAAATGCTGCAAATTCTGCACAGCATCAGTGTGAACCAGGGCTAAAAGTGATATTAAAAGCAATTAAAAAATAACAAACATGTCATATTTACCTGCTCTGTGCACTGGTTTTGCAAAGAGCAGCCTTGATCCTCCTCTTCTTGTGTCCCCCACCAGTGCTCCTGGCCCCTCCCTCTTGCCAAGACCTCCCATAGAAAGCAGCTTCCTATGGGGGCACCCAAGCAGTCTCGTTCCTGAGCCACTGCTCTGTGTGTCCATTCTTACAGAGAGCTGTGGCTCAGCCCCGCCCCCTCTCTCTGTGCATTGGCTCACTGGCTGTGATTAAGAGCCGCAGCCATTGGCATGAAGGTAAAAAACATTGAGCCTTTACAACCATTTTAATGATGAGTTATATAGGCACACCATTACCAACCAATGTCTCATTATTTCTCAAACCAAAAACTGTGGCAAAAAAAAAAAGATTTTACCCTGGGGTATCTCTTTTCCAAAAATGGCTATTGGGGGGGGGGGGGGGTCATACTGTCCGGGCATTTTGATTTCATATGATTTATAAAATAAAGTAAGGGAAATGTTTTAGATACCACTAAAAGAAAGCTCTATCTATCTGTGTATCTAAAACATTATTTAAAATGTGGGACAGTGTTGCATGACAAAATAATTGTCAGTCAAACTATCACAGCATAGAAAACTGAAAATGGCGTGGTAACAAAGGAGTATTACAAGTTGGTTCTCAGCAGCCACAGCATCCCCTTAGGTGGCCAAGAGCCAAAGTTAACACTCATTGCATGTGGGAAAAAATTCTGGAGTCCTTTGTACAAAGAGTATTTTTGGCAGTGATGTTAGAAAGAGTAATTTGAACTTGTTAGCAATAAATTATGGGTAGACTAAAATAAAAAAAAAGTCATTTTAAAAAACATACAGAGTAGTTTATTATTTTTTTTTCTCACAAAAGAGGGGTTTTGCTTTTCTTTTCCAAAAAAAGGCAAAAGGAGTTAAGAAATCAGTATGTGCACATACTGTTCTCTGCCTCAACCCATTATTCCCCCCTGTTAGGCCCATTTTCTATATGTACACATGCAGTGAAGATACGGGGGAACATTTGCTGAAATATCATAGAGATTTTTCAGCATAAAATATCAATGTGAGAAAACTATAGTTGCTGACACTCAAAGAGCATGTCAATTGTCACAAATGATGCTTATTCCAGCAGTTTTGCTGGTAAACATTAGGTGCTATATAGTCTGCCTTTGCAGCTTTTAAAGGAATATGGTCAGTTTTGTTTGAATGTTTTAAGTACACTGCTCAAAAAAATTAAAGAAACACTTTTTAACCTCCCTGGCGGTATGATTATTTCAGATTTTTGGTGCTGAAAGCGGTACCATTTTTTTGCATGGAAATATGTATTTTTTTTATTGTAGGCTGTAATTTTTAGGAAAAACTCACTGAAATCTGTCCGAACAAGAGTCTAGTAAACATCCCGGGTATGATAAAATTTGAAACACAAAATCATAAATTATAATTTAATAAATAATCATAAAAATAATATAAAAATAATAAAAAAATTAATTCAATAATATAATCAAACCAAAAACACTGAAATGTGAAATAGAGCGCCAAGTTCGCACATTGCTGAGCTCAGTCGCAAAATCGTTTTCAGTTTCTGATGACGAATTTCCCCCACGAATCATTATCACTCAATTCTGCAAGTAGTTCTGATTTACTATCGCTGTTCTCTAGCTGATCTAAACCGCTTTTGACCTAAAGGGACACTTTTTGGACGCCATGGACATTTCTCAGTTTCCAGGCAGAAAGAACAGACAAAATGCAGGCAGGGCGCAGGACAAAGCAGTAGGGACAATATGTATGTGAAATAGGTTGAAACAGCAATGTTTTACTGTGTAAAATGAAAAAAAAAAAAAATGACATTTTTTAAAATTTTTAAATTTCCCCGCCGCCGGCGGCGGCGGCGCCCGTACGTCCCGACGTCACAGGGACAGGAGACAGAAGCCGGATGCCGGCATCGGCCGGAGGAGATGGCCGGGGACGCTGCAGGGGACACATCGTGGGAGCGCAGGGTAAGGTAAGTGAAGAACACATGCCGGAGCAGCGCCGCATGGTATTCCCGAGTGTAGCTCGGGGTTACCGCTTTTGGTACTGAAATGTTACCCCGAGCTACACTCGGGAATACCGCTAAGGAGGTTAATCAGAGTATAGCATCAAGTCAATTAAACTCCTGGGATATTGATCTGGTCAGGTAAGTAACATAAGGGGTTGTTAATCAGTTTCAGCTGCTTTGGTGTTAATTAAATTAACAACAGGTGCACTAGATGGGCAACAATGAGACAACCCCCAAAACAGGACTGGAGGCCACTGACATTTTTTTCCCTACTCATCTTTTCACTAGTTTTGCATTTGGCTAGGGTCAGCGTCACTACTGGTAGCCTGAGGCGATACCTGGACCCTACAGAGGTTGCACAGGCAGTCCAACTCCTCTAAGATGGCACATAAATACGTACCATTGCCTGAAGGTTTGCTCTGTCTCCCAGCACGGTCTCAAGAGCATGGAGGAGATTCCATGAGACAGGTAGTTACTCTAGGAGAGCTGGATGAATGTCCTTAACCAATCAGCAGGACCCGTATCTGCTCCTGTGTGCAAGGAGGAGCAGGATGAGCACTGCCAGAGCCCTACAAAATGATCTCCAGTAGGCCACTGGTGTGAATGTCTCTGACCAAACAATCAGAAACAGACTTCATGAAGGTGACCTGAGGGCCCGACGTCCTTTAGTGGCCCTGTGCTCACTGCTAGTTAAGACCCCTACACCTCGATATACCCTTAAATATATCAATAAAGAAGACCAAAACACTGTTGGAGTAAAATGACCATCACAGCCTTTTATTACCAGCTGAAGTTCAATAACACAAAAAACATTCCTTAAAACAGAAACATACAGGAGAAGTTGTTGGTCTTCGAAGGCACCAAACAAAAAACTGATATCCCCTGCAGAACCTTAACCATATTATTAATACTAGGCCTCCAGCCGCAACACACTGGCTCGGGGACAAAACACACCATCCGCAGTGCAGAACCTCCACCTTCCAGTTAATCCTCGGTTATCCGGAATGCACCCGGGCACACCATACCACCGATGGGTCCAAACCGTTCACTTTAGCTTAAAAGTATGTGGCTCCTCCAAAGACCAACAACCGCCCCCAGAGCCAGAACAAATTGGGAACTGAAAAAAAAAAACAAACAAACCCCAAGGGGGAGGGAGGGAGGGAGGGAGGGAAGCTTGCTCCACCGCTGCCACCCCTGCACTGGATTGTCCGACCCCCACCACTCCCCCAAGGTGTCGAGGACCCCACCCTGAAAACCCATCACTATTCAGGTAACCTGCATGTTTCACTATCTCCCACCTTTACTTAACCCTTTTCTGTCTTTCCTACCCCCTCTTCTAGTCATGTCGGCCCTCCGCTATTTTCTCTTTCTTTCTTT